TAAGCTGTGTAAAAAGATCTCCAACAAGGACGACTTACCTGGTGAAATAAGCAGTGTAAAAAGATCTCCAACAAGGACGACTTACCTGGTGAAATAAGCTGTGTAAAAAGATCTCCAACAAGGACGACTTACCTGGTGAAATAAGTTGTCTCTGGACAGGAATGCCTCCAGTAAGAACGAGGTTCATATCGTCCACCGAACACTGGAAGACTTCTACGTAACGCTGTTTCTTACCGAAAATCATGTAGCGATGGTGGCGCTGCTGTGCTGCTAAATAAGCCGAGTGTTCTGAATCCATCTGAATAAAAGACTCTCCAGACGGCTGACCCTAAAAACAAAACTCGTTATCATTTCAGCGATTGTTTTAACCCTGTTACTTGGATACAATAAAACTTGTTTGTATCTGTTTCCATGACTCTCCAGTAAGAAAACAGCTTTGCTAATTTCTGTTTCCTAAGTTGTAAGTTATGTCATTTAACCGCACAATGTTGTCATAAAACAAGTATGTCAATATTTCCAATTAAAATATTTTTGTTTGGTGTACATTACATTTTTTCCTGTTGTTAACGCGTTCTTATTAGATGTATACAACTAGTATTAATGTTCATATTAATTTTGAATCAGTCGTTTTAAGACGTCTAGTCCACACACACTTGTATAATGTAAGTTTTGGTTTTGTTTTGAAGTTTGATTTCTTAGCCATCTCGTAAATCAACGGAATAGAGTCAAGAACTAGGGCCGTAACATTTTTGTACAAATAAAGGGCGTGGCCAGGTGGTTAGGGCGCTCGACTCGTAATCTGAGGGTCGCGGGTTCGAATCCTCGTCACACCAAACATGCCAACCTCCGCCTTTGCCTGGTCCCAAGTCCAGGATGAGAAAGGAGGAGAGAGTTGGGCGCGGGGCTAGCAACTCCACCCCGTAAAAACCAACCTACTACAAGGCGTTGGCGAGGTGTTGTTGAGGAATTAAAAAAAAATCAAGGGCGTAGGTGGGGTGTGTGAGGGGGTATCATGGCTAGTATATTATATAATCACATTGTAATACGGTGTAAAAAATAATTAAAGCAGATAAAGGTACTCGTTTGTTTGTTGTTGAGCACAAAGATACACATTAGCTATCTGTGCTGTGCCCACCACAGGTATCGAAACCCGGTTTTCAGCGTTGTAAGTCTTCGGACTTACCGCTCCTCCACTAGGAGGCAAGTAACAATATAAAGGTATTTTGATAAGCATTCATATTCTACTAATAATAAGTCAACAGTAACGGTACTCATGAATGATCAATTTCTAAACTAAAACATGCAAGTGTTTAAAATTCGCCTGTTCGTTTTAACCTTTTCCGTTATCGTATTCTGCTAGGTCCGAATCTTAAGAAACGATTCGAGTTTTTATTTTCTCATAATTTTGCAAATAGATTTTCAGTAGTTCAGTTGCTAAAATAAATACAACCAAACTCCAGATAAATACAACTTTTAATATACCCGACGTTTTGACTTACGTCTTTATCAAGGGTTACGAATCACCACTGATAGAGACGTAAGTCAAAATGTCGGGTATATTAAACGTTCCGTTCATCTGGATTTTATTGTCATATGTATTTTAATAACGGTTTCTAGTCTCCAGTGTGCACTTACGCACTTGAAGTTAAGTAATAATACCGTTACATTTTGTTTTTCAATTTGTTATTCCGATAACCTAAGGCATTATTTTAAAAGGATACAACGGGTAATAGAGAAATACCTTATCCATTGTTCAGTGTGTGTGTGTTGCCATATCTCTAGTCATCTATTTTCGCGCTTCTAGAAACCAAAACAATAAAAACACCAGTTAGGCCTAAGTCGCTTCTAGAACCCAAAACAGTAAAAACACCAGTTAGGCCTAAGTCGCTTCTAAAACTCAAAACAATAAAAACACCAGTTAGGCCTAAGTCGCTTCTAAAACTCAAAACAGTAAAAACACCAGTTAGGCCTAAGTCGCTTCTAGAACCCAAAACAATAAAAACACCAGTTAGGCCTAAGTCGCTTCTAGAACCCAAAACAATAAAAACACCAGTTAGGCCTAAGTCGCTTCTATAACCCAAAACAATAAAAACACCAGTTAGGCCTAAGTCTGTGGTACGAAAGTATTTCTCACATACAAATAAGAAGAAAACAATTTGTGTTTTAAAACCCATCCCGCCTACAGTTGTGTAACATCACCGATTCCAAAGTATCTTAGACGACATCATCCCTCTGAAAGGATGGGGATTTTCTGGTATAAATATTTGTTTTCAGTTTATATTTCGATGTCAGTAATCGACGTTGGTGCTAACTTATTATTCGGGCAACTTGTCTTTCGAGTCGAATTTTTATTTAAAATTTATTTCTTTTATATTAATATAACTTGGCTTGTAGAGAATGTTGCATGCTGTTTTCTTTTTAATGTTTTAATTCTTAATAACACAGATGTTAAAAGAAGAAGAAAAAGTGTTTAATGTTGCATAATAAATATTTAAAAATGAGACTATTTCCAGTCTCAAAATACAATAATTTTATTTTTGATTTAATAATTGACTGTATAAAGATCAAATACCGTGACTCAGTCGAAATTATATAGAAAATAAGTTTACTTACTTGAGCATTGTAAACCATATGGACACCCTGGAAAACAATATTTTTGGAATGGTCCCCTAAGAATTCAAGGATGTGTTCCACCTGGGCCTCGTATGGTAATCCCCGAAGACGTATACAGTCTTTCCTAGAACCAGACGGAAGTAGCTGCTGGGGAAGCAAGGGGACTTGGGGAATGTTAGCTATCAGTGGTTGCTGTTGTTCGTAAGTCCGAGGGTCCATGCTGCGATTCAGAACCTGGACAAGGAAGTCAATGACGATGTGGCTATAGTATCCAATAAAACATTAGTAGTAACATGACGTGTAACAGAATACATACAAAGTAAAAGGTAAACTGATAGGTAATGATAATACTAAACTTCCAACAGTGGCGACTTATCATTCAAGAATGATAAGTCGTCATTGTTATAAACGATCGATACATTGAAACAATGCATCGATCGTTTATAACAATGACGACTTATCATTCAACAATGTATCGATCGTTTATAACAGTGGCGACTTATCATTCAACAATGTATCGATCGTTTATAACAATGACGACTTATCATTCAACAATGTATCGATCGTTTATAACAGTGGCGACTTATCATTCAACAATGTATCGATCGTTTATAACAATGACGACTTATCATTCAACAATGTATCGATCGTTTATAACAATGACGACTTATCATTCAACAATGTATCGATCGTTTATAACAATGACGAATTATCATTCAACAATACGGTGGTCGTTTATGTCGCCTGATGACAGGTTTGTAGCTGGACTGTATCTAAAACTAGATTGGTTGGGACTACTGACTCAATCGACATTAGCTGAAAAAACAAACTGATTTAGTACACTTCAAATTAAAAAAAATAACTCCACAGTTTTAAACTAACTGTGATAAAAACAATTAAACGAAGAACTAACACGTTCTGTGTAAAAATGAAACAAAAAATGTAAACACTTCGCAAAATATCACACAGAGGAATATTTCAACATTTAGAAATTTCACTTAGCTTATTACGGAATTCAACACTAAAATTATTAATTTATAAAGAAAAATACAAGAAGATATACAGCTATATATACCCTGCACATTTCTTGTCCACTGCAGACATTATCCAGGCTAAATGTAGACTGTCCAGAAAATGGTAGAACAGTAACTTGAAGACAAAAACAGTTCTCCCGACTCTTAATTATTATTCTTTTTCTTTTTTTTTGCGACAATAATCAACACCTACTTATTGATTAACTGGAAATTCTGAGGTAGGTAACAAAATGTTGGCATGACGCTCGTGTTTTCATTTAACCAATCATTACGTTAAGGCGGTTAAGCCTAACAGCAACAAAGAACCCGGAAATACTTCCAACATATCAATATAAATTCCTCACCACCTGTGGAAATAAAAGCCAAACGAAGCGACACACGTGTCTCATCTACACGTGCGCTTCGACGTTTGTGTTATCAACAAAATATACGTGTACTGCTTTGGTATCCCTGCATTTGAGGCTTAGTATAGATGAACAAGATCCCCTCCCCCCCCAAAAAAAGAACAAAACTGCAGGAGTTTCCTGGATAGTTTGTTAGTATGTCTACATCCATAGAAGACTGTTACATGAAGTCTTAAAGACATCGGGTCAAAAATCAGAATATCGGGAAATGATCCTGACATATAATAGATATCCCGAAAAGATTTTTTATCTTTACACACAATTTACTTACTACAATATCTGTCATTATTATACTTAATTAATATGAATTACAAGGTCTCTAGGAAGGTTTGAATTTTTAGGAGTGTAACTAATGCGTTTTGCTGTTTGGAAATATAATGGCGTTTGTATTTCACAAGAACATGCGCACTTCATGGTTGATGTCACACCAAATTACCCACCTGTTGTACCTCGGCTGTAGTGCTACGAAACAATTCGATGTAACGCGAGCCAATCAACTCTCGATGCTTCTGGAGAGCACGTGATGCCATACCCTCGGACTCGAAGAGCACGAATGCATCTCCTGTCGCTCGTCCATCGGCCTTTCTCACAAACAAAACACCTTCCTCGCTATCGAGGACATCACAAGGGTTATCTCCACCGGCGAAGAATTCCAACTGGAATAAAAAGCAGAAGTTAATAAGCTTGCTTTACCGAGTTTGGGATGTCCTTTAAAATTAAATTATTTATGTTTCACAGAAACATAATCGTCACAACCAATATAAACACAGAGTAAAACCTGCTAGAGGTTTAGTGAAAACAGTGAATTAATAAAAGAAACATATTCGCCACAACCAATATAAACACAGAGTAAAACCTGCTAGATGTTTAGTTAAAACATTGAATTAACAAAAGAAACATATTTGCCACAACCAACATAAACACAATGTAAAACCGGCTAGATGTTTAGTTAAAACACTGAATTAACAAAAGAAACATATTCGCCACAACCAACATAAACACAATGTAAAACCGGCTAGATGTTTAGTTAAAACACTGAATTAACAAAAGAAATATATTCGCCACAACCAATATAAACACAGAGTAAAACCGGCTAGATGTTTAGTTAAAACATTGAATTAACAAAAAAAAAAACATATTCACCACAACCAACATAAACACAGAGTAAAACCGGCTAGATGTTTAGTTAAAACATTGAATTAACAAAAGAAACATTTTCGCCACAACCAACATTAACACAGAGTAAAACCTGCTAGATGTTTCATTAAAACTCTGAAGCCTGTTTAATTTTAATCAGCGTTTTTCAACCTATGGGTTATGACCCAATTTCACACTAAACTTGGTTGTTAAAATGTGAGAAAGGATCGACAACAGACCTTGAAAACAAATCATAGTAATCATATCTAGTAATCCAAACGTGATTTTTAACAAATAGGTCTAGATAAAAACAAACATGGTTGAAACCGTTTTAAACGACACGCCACACTGTACGAAATAGTTAAATTTCAAACCTTAAAAGGACAGCGTAAGGCTTAGGAAAAATGTTGTTAATTCGAAGCATTGTGGGAAAAGGCTCGGGTTGCTTCTTTTGAAGTCGTTGAGCGTGACGTTCTGGAGACAGAGGGAAGGAGGGAGGGAGAGAAAGTTCTTCAATCAATTCAGTAAGACTGAGACCTTGGCTTTAGGTTAAAAAAAAATAAGAACACTATACGCATTGTTTTCTTAAATGATTTAGAATACAACTTTTACACACATGTGAACTCGAAATTCATGGACAACTACATAAAAAATGTATGTGTAAGTGTTACCTGCAAACAAAGACCTGGAGAAGTAACCGTAAATTTTGAAGTATATATGCCTACAGTCAAAACTATTTCATAGAATCATTTGTCTCTTATAACCCAGCCAAACTGATGAGTTCTGGTATTGAACGAAATTCTTATACTTGTGGGAGATAAATGATAGATTTAAAAAGCTATTTTTTTACCTAATTTTTATTTTGAGGCGGCGCAATGGACACACCATGAGGAATTTGGGGGATAAAATAAACAACTGCAGTTACCTGGTTCTATAACGAACTGGAGTGGTTAGGAGCTGGTACACTACCGCCATCTGTTGACACAAATGTCGTGAAATACACTTTATTACTATCATTACCTATTGTAAAGTATAAATATTAGAACTAAATATGCAGTTCATATTTCGCCGTGGAATATGACTACATTGTTAGTACCACTTATTGGTTACTAGACAGTGTCATATAAAACAGTGTAATACTGCCACCTGGTGGAAGTTCTCAATGGGATGTAAGGGTCCTTGTTCGTTTAAACCTATTTGACAAAATATGAACAACCTTAATAATGAAATCTTTGTTTCTTAAGTAACGAAAACAGTAGCGCTACCTGCTGGACAGAATATGAGCTATGTATGAGATATACAAAATATCACAGCAACGAATACCATAAAAAGCTCGTTCGATCGGTAAAACATATTCATAATGTACTGTGACATTATAAACACGTGATAACACACTCTTCATCAGTTATTCACGCCATTACCACGCTATATAGAGAACATCACAAACTGGGAAAAAATGACCATCTCCTTTCCTGAAGCCTGGTGGCTTATAACGCTAAAAACTGGGTTTCGATACCTGTTGTGGGAACAGCACAGACAGCCCATTGCGTAGCTTTGCGCTCAACAATAAACAAACCCTTTTCCTAAAAGTACTGAAACGATCACGTTAATGGTTATACTAAGTACGGCACTTTGGTCTAATTAACGGTCGTCAAGTTCAGTTTGTACTTACCACTTGTTTAGCTGTGCAATCGTAAGGAAGACCTCTCATTCTCACAATGACCTGACCGCCGCGAGAAAGGAAAGTCTGAGCTTCATTGTTGCTCCCTGAAACAATGATTAAATTATAAGAAAGTCTCAGCTTCATTGTTGCTTCATGAAACAATGATTAAATTATAAGAAAGTCTCAGCTTCATTGTTTCTTCATGAAACAATAATTAAAAGCTGAGACTTTCTTATAATCCATATGGATACGTTTATACTCACACGCCAGAAACTTGTTAATATGGCTGTGAAGATTATACTTTATTTGGCTTATATCAGAATAAATAATGGGGCACAGACTGTTTTATTTTTACCAGATACTTCCAACTTGATATTCAAATAATCGCACATTTTAAATGTTACTTAAAATTTTCATTACAGTTTTAGAAAGGTAAAGTGATGATCAGACTTTTCTTTTACAACCGTGTCCAGTTTATCGCCAGTGTAATCTTTACTTTTTTATAATGTAATCATTGTTTCATGAAGTAAGAGTGAAGCTCAGGCTTTCTTATAATTTAATCATTGTTTCATGAAGCAACAATTGATGATATTTAATAACATCAGAAATATTATTAACCTGTAATGTTGCATATTTTTCCGAAAGACTATCAGTAGAGTATGAATTTTCGGAATCTTGCACTGAAGTGTAATAATTGATGGATGTTGCTGATAACGATCTTTTTCTATGGAAACCCAAAGTACAAGTACCTGAGCTGATAGTATTATATACCTACCGTTTCGGTCGAGTGGAAACGTTGTCATTCAAGATGCTATCAAATTTAAACACTCTATTAAGAACAACCTTTGTAGCTGGCACAGTACCAGTAGTTAGCTTGTAAACTACTGCTAACTATTGTACACATGTTTAACTAAGTATTGTTCTACTATGCTAAGCCTGTCTTTGTTTTAGTTGTTAATCCGCGTGAAGTTTGTTTTAAATATTAGTCGACTCTGTGTTTATAGGCTACAAGTCTGTGAAGTAATGGTTTATACATGTACGATCAGTTGTTAATGTACACAAAATTGAAATCATAAAAAAATATCAGAAATGCTATTTTCGGGACCGTCAGATCAAATAACACTAGTAAATAATA